ACCCTGAACTTATCTTGGATGGCTGATCATCTATGCTCTTATCTGAGCCATGGACCTATCAATTTGTAGAGTTTAACGACTTGTAATCAGGTATGTTCCTAAAACAATAGAATACTAATTCCTAAAACAATATAATACTAACTACGTTGCGTGTTTGAATTTGAACGAAATCGGTTCATAAATACGACTTTTATAAATAACTCAACCCCAGCACCACCCAGCGAGTTTTCTGTTAGTCTCTAATAGGACCATATATGCAAGGTATAACCTTTGACTGAAATCTATGCAGTAATTTTTGAGTTAACTCCGAACAACGAAAACGGATATTATTTTATATACATATATAGATTTAAAATTTTGAAATTTTCGCGGATGTCTTTGTTTTGTACGAAATAAAGGCGTGACCGATACAAAATTAAGATGTTGACATTTTAAGAAGCACCCTAATACTTATGGATGCGTTACTTATGTTATGTATGTTAGAATAATTTACACACACATATGTAGATACATCTTGATTCGGCGAAACAATATTACTGTTGAAGAAAAATCACTGTCAGTTAGCGACTGTAGAATATGCTGGGCTATAATGCGTTTTTCTTTTAACTTAATTGACGGCATTGATTTTCCATTTGTTTAACTCAGTTGAACGCAGATGTTACATTTGTATGAACAAATGCATATGCGTGGGAGCAGTAGCTTCGTTAATTGCTATCACAGCAAATGTAGGTACATTACAAACGGTTGGTTTGTAGAGTAGTGGATCATTAATTTGGTGTTGAAGAGCTTGGAGAAATCTTCTCGAAGGCGTTCTCAGACCAGACTTTCATTGCCAACAGTTATGTTCTCCCTTAAAAGTGTAATTCGAATTTGAGGCAACTAATGTAAATCTGTTTCACTTCCGGCCGCGTTCCCAATAACCATTTGTGAAAAATTTTAATATCGAATTTTTAGTTTTTCAATTATTTTTTAATAGTACTACTGTGCGGCTAGTCAAAAGAACTGTAAAACTCGATGTGCGGGACTTAGGGGTATGGTCAATGTTTTTGCAAACTCAGAGTGGTAGCTATTTTAGGGTCTGAACTAGACTGTGCCTGAACTTTATTATGAGCGAAATCGGCTTTGGAATTTATTACCACCTATAACTACTAACGTCTGGGCTTGGTTTCTGGGCCACTAAATGGCTTTCTGAGTGAGTTAGAAAAAACCTTCCTCACTCTTGTATTCAAAACATCCTAAGTCTCGCCAATTGAGTTTTACGCTCCTTGCGACTAGTCTCACAGTACTAAAAAAAAAAATGATAAAATGCCATACATACGTCTGAATTTCAAGGACTCAAGTAAAGTTGCCCTTAAGCGCATTAGTACGCATTGACGGGCCAATGATTGCTATATGTATGTGGGTCGAAGGTTAGCAGAGAAATGCATATAAATGTAGTTTATATCTTCTTGCAATCACATTCTGATGTGAACATGGGCATGTTGTATTTAGTACTTAATGAAATAAGCACACTTACACACAAACCATCACTCACTCAACTGACTTCGTGTACCAGTATAGCACTCTCACTTCGTTCTTTTGAAAGCGTTGCTTTTGCATTCGTTCACTTTTTTTTTTAAGATTAAGGGCCATTCATTAATGGATATGGATTAAATTTGACATGTACGTTTTCTGCTGTGCATTAAATGCGCTGACATTGAAGTTGGCTTGGTGGCATTGACTTTGATAAGGCGATTCAATTTGCGGTCAATCAATCGATTAGTGTAATCGATGGGTACGCCTTAATTGTTTTAAAATGTAATTACAACTCAAACACCAGTGGTACAAAAGTACGTGACTTTAGGTTTATTTATTTGGGCTAGGAAGTGGAAATTATCATCGACTACTCGTTACTTTTTTAAATATTTTTGAACCACGCGCTCTGCTTTTTTGCCAACTTTGTTATGGCGAAGTCTTCACCAAACACTAAAAGGTTCTCTTGATTATTAAAAGAAAATCGTCGATGTGTTTGCACAACCGCCCATCGACTAGTTGCAAAACCACTTAAATCGCCGTTGTGACAAAAATGAGATTTGGTAACCGTGGACTCCAGACATCGAGACTTATGCATAAGAATCGCAAGATCATTATTCCAACAAGAGATTTGTAAAATAATAGCTAGAGAAAATACCGCCTATCAAGGCAATGCCTTCAAAGAAAAGCCGTTTTTTTCGCTCTCCTTTAATATTTGAGTGCCGTAAGATAGGCGGGTTTGCAATTGGTCGATGGGTAGTTTAATAAGTGAGTTACTTTTTCAAATGCCCATCACCACCTGCACCACCAATTTAAAGGCTAAAAAGTAATTTGCTGATTTCCGTTGTGGTCTTAGGCGCCTGTTACACGATCAATACGGATTGCGATATTTGGATCGTGATTCGTATTGATGGATCTCAAAATATTGATGGGTCGTGAGTGTGTGCTAAACGTCCAATATTTATTGCGTCAGTATTTTCATAATTCTTGTGCTGCACGCTTATTACGTCTCAGAAAATATTTTTATTTTGTACCAATAATTTACAGATAACGGATAACATAATTCTTTTAAAATTTCCAATGTTAATTTAAATGCTTTCAATTTGTTTTGAAAGGTTTTAAGTCCTGAGACCGATTACATTTTTGATGCTCCCATTATGAGAGTACAAGAAGTACGGACGAAATGTATGGATCGCGTTTTGAATATGCTACACCTTCAACATTTATTGCGATCCGCGATCAGTGATCCGGATTTCAAAATTACTAGAAATTTTGCGGTCAGTATCACGATCCATCAATATTTGATCCTACACCTTCAATAAATATCAAGATCCAGGATCGCCATCCAAATATCGCGATCCGTATTGATGGCGTGACAGGCGCCATACAAGCAAAAATGACGCCAAACGTTTAGGACGCGCAAAAGGGATCGTCACGCCGGAAGCTTGTGTCGTGATGTCGGCTGATAGTAGTGCAAGTAATGGCTGAGGTTGTAGTCATTTTAACTGAACGGACACATCACATTTTATTTATTCCCACGACAGTCGGTTCCATGTAACATATTGACTCTCGGGTGGTTTTAAAAAGGGCTGTTGTTTCCGCGATCTAATCCTGGTAAGATCGGTGAAATCTTTTAATTTCTATTCGTCCATGGGGCAATATCTTGCTGAAGGGTTGCTCTGCATCCTTATGCTGCGGGCTGGTATGGAGTCAAACGCTGGACCAGAAACCCTTTTCACACATGGAAGCGGCAACTACTGACTCCACGGCAACCTAATGCAGAATACGTCGGAGACTCCACGGCTTTATATGCCCGCAAGGTATACTGATGATTGCAATCCAAGAGATGAAGTCGCACAGCAGAAAGTCAGGGTATTGCTATTCGGTAGAGATTGCCGATAATGACGTCTGGCTATGGAACTGATCAAAAGTAAATGGTTACCTCTATACTTCTCTCGATTTTTCACTACATGGAGCCTAACCCTCTCCCCAAAAGTCGTCAAGTTGCTCGATAGCAGCACTTAAGGAAAATACAAAGAAACATTGTTGGCCACATTCAGACACTAAATCGAGGCTGAACCTTCCGGTAGGCACGCTAGAAGGCATTTCTACGAGCTAAAGCAACGGCATTTAAATGTGCACGATAGTGAGATTCAACTGCGAAGTTGGAGGCTATATTCCAATTTATCCAGAATAGACCCTGACGTACTCACCTGACGTCTCCCCGCAACACCAACTACCTCTTCCACTCCATCCAACAAATCAACTTACACCTCTCTCCCTCTGGACCGACCCCATCGAAACAGCACGTTTCCTGGGCATACCGTTAGTTCATCACAACAATTGAATGACTACACGATATAGGCAACAACAACATTACATTTTACATGAATAGTTGGCAGCGAAACGGCGTGACCACTCCAAAGGGTTTTTGGTGATGTTCACCCGAAGTCTAGACGGGTCTATAAACAATTTCGCCGTCTACGAAACATGAGGGTATTACAATACATCAAAGCAAGCCCATCACCGCCGAATATCTATAAATTTGAGCTGCTGGACAGAGTTGACATTGATTTGATTTAAATACGATCGATTTGGCGAAGGAAACAGTGCTCTTCCACGGGGTAACGATTCGCCTAATTTTCCAGCTTATTCCATAGATTTAGCCTGCTGCTACTACATTCTGCGTTGACACCTGGCGAAGTGGCTTGGGGGTAATAAGATACAATTTTAGGATCTGGAGACAAACAATTATTTCGAAGGAATACAAATAATGTTAAAACGCTAGATTAAATCTGTGTTCGTATGGAAAAGTAGCTTATGCCGAAAAGCTGGCTTTAGTATATCTGTGGTCATAAGCAATAATCGCCTAAGTCGAGAAACCTTATTTCGAGAAAAACCGTTTTAAACATTTGGATTGTAATGTTAACCTAATGGAGAAACCGAAATATGTTCGTATATAACTTTTTAAGTAGCCTAGCAGGAGAGATGGGGATTTCACATATACATGGAAGAGTAGTTGCAGAATACGAAAGCATATATATCTCTATTCTTTCTTAAGTCGACTTAGGCGGTTATTGCTTATGACCATAGATATATCGGCATTCGCAGCATAAGATAGCGAATGACTCACTGGCGCTAAGCCTTTGAACAACTTTTGGCAAATAAACGTGTAAGAAATAGTTTCGATACTAGCAAGTCAATATTCTTATTAAGTCTTATCAAAAACTTCCTTGCCGTTTAAAGAATAAAAAGAACACAGAAATGTATCGAGCTAGAAAAATGTTTTTATTCAACAAGTTACTTAGTTATAAACCGCCCCGTAGTTTGAGCTTGAATCCAAATTTCTCTCAAAGGTTTTATTAACCACACTAGTGATTTGCTCAGTGTAGTTCCCGAAGGGAAAGCCTTAACCTGAATGCTTAATTTTTATTTAAAATACTATTTGCGTGTAATGTGTAATTCTTACCTTTTTTTTACTTTTAAAGATATTGAATTAAAGGAACGCCTGATCGCCACCGTCAAGAAGGAAGTCAAACAGTTGATGGAAGAGGCTGTTACTAAGAAGTATATACACGAGGAAAGTAGTTCGGTGACATCACTTTGCGGAGCTGTAGAGGCATGTCTGAGTCATGGTTTGCGGCGACGTGCACTGGGCCTCTTCAAAACCTCTTCAACGACAGCGTTGATACAAAAAATTGCCCGAACTTGCCCTGAAGCAGATTATATAAATCGCTGTTTGCTGGAAATCGAAATGGTCAATGAAACGCACACGGTCACCGGCAAACGGTCTTCTTCCAGCAGTGATAGTATTATTAAACCGAAATTGCTCAGCAAGGGCAGCAGCAATTCGGTGACAACCATCAATACGATGTCGTCTACAACTAGTGGCTGTACAAATGCGGTGGTGAAGTGAGTAGTGAAAGATTTTTTAAAATTAATTTATAAATGTACTAATGACACGTTATGTGTTTTCTTTGGCAGATATCTGTGGATACGCTTAGCTTTATATGAGCGTCGTCTTTCTAAAATCATTGAGTATTTAGTTAAAAATGCCAATAACTTCTATGATCGTGATGCGCTGGTCGCCGATCCGGATTATGGTTCCATACTCAGTTCGCTGTTAGTCGGACCCTGCGCTTTGGAGTTTACGCGCGCCAAAACGCCAGACCACTATTGGTCGGACCCACATGCTGATGAACTTGTGAGTACCTCTGATGATGAGCATTGCTAAGGTTATATTTAAACGATAAATTTTCTCACGTTAGGTTCAACGTCATCGCATAAGCTCCGGTAATCGCACGCCACCGATAGTACATCGTCCGATTATCAACTTCAAGCGCAGCTTGCATACCAGTTCTGAAGACACCAGTAGCGGCTCTTACAAAGCCAGTTCACCTGCTAGTGTTGCCAAGGACTATGTTGAGTCATTGCATCAGAATTCAAAGACTACGCTTTTATATGGCAAAAATAATGTTCTAGTTTTACCGGTGAGTCATGCAGTGTTCTAAATATTTACAAAATACAAAGTATCTTCTCCTTATTCGCCATATAATCCCCAACGGACATACGGCATCCAATACGCCTGCGGGCCATCTGTTTCGGTTTTTTACAATCGCTTTGATTTCCTTCGAGCTTAACTCGAGTTGCTTCGCCGCTCAACGTTTTCCGCCCGGTTTCAGGCGATCTGTCCTGGCGGCCTTCCTCTTCCAATTAGGGGTTCCATCCATAGCCTTAACTGCAATACTGCCGTGATCTTTGCGCAGTCAGAGACTTATCTACTTCCATTTTTGTCTCCGGATCCAGATATCAAGGGGCTCCATGTTAGTTCTTCTGAGAAACTCCTCATTTGAGATTGTTTTAAGCCAAACAATTCGGATTATTATTCAGAGACATCGGTTAAGGAAACTTGCAGTAGAGTACGACCGATTCAAAATTTTTGGCCGATGCCGATTTCTTAAGAAAAAACCACCTGAATATAAATTCATTCAAGAATAAATGTCTTTGATAAACTTTTATAATAGTTAAAAAAATAGGCTACCAAATCACATTTCTTAGTTGTACTAATAGTAGTAAAAATATGCAGCTTCTGCTGACTATAAAGGTGTTTTATTGATTACAATTTCTTAATATTTAAACAGTAACCGTAGATTTTTAATGATAAAAGTAATTTTGTAACGTAAACAATTTAACAATCCAGCGCAAAGAACCCAAAGGATTTAGGAATTCAGCGATTAATGCAAGGATAATCCAAACAGTACTTACAGTAACGACACTTTTGCATTCTTTGGCTATTTCCCTTTCGTTTATTTAATGTTTCTTAGCTACTTCAAAGTTGCACTTTATTACACTAAAATTTAAAGAACTGCGTACTCGAAAAAATTCTAAAATATCTGATTAAACAATTTAAAATTTTGATGAACATTGTTAAAATTGCGGAAAAAGTAAAAATAATCGGCTAAGAATCGGCCAAAAATGGCCGATGCTGATGCTGATTCTTTCGGCGATACTAGCCGATGCCAATTAATCGGTCGGACTCTAACTTGCAGGCGCCTAGTTACTGAAATGGTGACTTTCCAAGTGGAACAACCCTACAGCAGTATGGATTGCTCATTGGACTGGAAAATATTGATCTTTAGAGGAGAACACAGATTGTTGTTTCGCCATAACGTGAACATTAGATAAATGGTCGTTCTGGATTTACTTATTTGGTGGTCAATGACTTCGTCGGTGCCAGCACCAGGGGTAACTTAGCCACCAAGGTATGTCGAATTCCCCACAGTCTCATGTGTTTTGTCTGAGACGCTCACGCCACCGTAAGCCTGCGCTGCCACATTTAGAACTTTGCTCTTATTAAAGTTGATCCTTGGGCCTGCTGCCTTAGCTTCTCTGTGTAGCGCGTTGCCCATTTAAGGCAGATCAGAAATACGGTGTGCCAAAAGACCTACATGTGTCGTCAGCATAGTCAATGCCCGTGGTCGAGGAGAGATCTTAAGGCAGCATCCAGCACATCCCCAATCACCCAAAGGCAGAGATGGGATGAGAGTATGCAGCCTTGTCGAATTCCACTGCGCACCGCAGACAGCTTCCCGTTGTAAGGGCACGACCCCTAGATGTATCGTTCGTAGATTTATTAACGGCGATAATTTTATCGGGCACCGTTCTACGGCGAAAGGTTGCCCAAACGCATTCTGTAATTCGGCGCACTGCTCGATAATGACCCTAACAGTGTTTATACGGTCTGTGCAGAAGAATGCCGTCGAAAGCCAGGCTGAGCGTTGTCGATAGTTGAATATTAGCCACCAAAGGTAAAATACAGATACCACGCCAGTTATCAGAATTCCTCAGGCCACCCCTTTAGGAATTTTGATAATAATGTTATTCGTCCAGTCATCTGGAAAGCAGCCACTTTCCCAGGCAGTGCTAATAAGTGGATGCAACAATTCCGCGGCGAGGTTTGGTTGCACCTTGAAAAACTCCACCGGCATGCTTTACTGTTTGGGAGCGATGCAAAGTGAAAGCTGTTTTTCAAGCTGTGCGGTCCTCACATACTGTTCGATTTTAATGCTCTTATTGAAGATGTTGTACACATGCATGCATGCACAGACATGCAGAACTCTTCACACCTTTGACCTGTCTGTCGATGTATCTACATAACTATTTAATTATTTTTCTCTCTTCCATATGCAGAAGGATGTCAACGAACCGATGCCAGGTTATTTGAGTCTCCACCAAACTGTCCAGTTCCTCACCATTAAGTGGACACCTAATCAATTGATGAACGGCTATAATGAAGCTGATGGTACCGATAAAAGTTTTTATTGGGCATATGCGCTCAACATCAATGTCGACGAAATTGTCTATGTGCATTGCCATCAGAATCGTGGTGAAGATACTGGCGGCACCATAATTTTAGTTGGACAAGATGGCGTACAACAACCACCGATACACTTCCCTGAAGGTGGTCACATGCAAGCTTTTCTGAGCTGCTTGGAAACTGGATTGTTGCCACATGGCCAACTTGATCCACCGCTTTGGTCTCAACGAGGCATGGAGAAAATGTTTCCATGGCCAAAGAGTGTTCGCCGCCGCATATTACCTTCTGTGATGGAATCCACCGATGAAACGCCAATCGATTACGTCTTCCGTGTTGTTAGCAAAAGTCAGCATGAAGAGTTTTGTAAGTTTTGTGAGATTAATTGAGAAAGGTCAATTATGTAAATGAATCAATGTACGTACGCCTTTCTCTTACAGTGGCAACACATCCTATTTTGGAGTTGGGGCGCACAAGCCCTCGACGTAAACATTTAAGCAGTTGCTCGACCACCGGTAGTAGTGACTGTTCCAGCAAAAGTTTATCTATGGAACAGAGCGGAGGAGACTCACCACTGGTAGGCACAGTTCATAAAATTTAGAGAATACATGAATTTTGGTAAACAGTTTTTTGGCCTTCGAAAACAAAGACTTATCCATGTTTTTTTTTAAGTGTTTGGTAAAAAAGTTGTCGTTCTTATCAGGTTGTAACAGCGTAAAAATATATATTTAAGTCTGAGTTATTTCGGTCATGATAATAGTAATACCATCGTCTAGAAAACTCCGCTCTAGCGTGTTCGCTGTTCGCTTTCGATGTAAAAGATTGACAAAATTCCTATAAGGAAGCGCATTACGCTCTCAGGCTTGGGAGTTGTTGACGCTAGCCGCGAATAGTCACAAACTTCCTAAAATTTGGATATTGTATCAGTTGGCAGTGACATTCTTTCAAAACAGTGGAAATACCGACTTGTTTGGATTCGAGGTTGAAATGTTTTTATCTTACCATTCGGCGGTTACGGTGCGCACTATGTCAACGGACAGCACAGTCGGCTTTAGAGATAAATTTTCAGATTATAGTCAGGTGTATAGTAAAACAAAAATGAGCAAAAATAGACGAACTTCGTTTAGAAAATATACCTAAACTATAATCGCTATGCTGGACGCATATATCTTTAATATTTTTCAAGGTATCACCAAGATGACATTTCAGCTTTGCTTTTTTTTTGAAAAGCTGCACGGCTACTAGAATAGAACGGACAGTCCCCAGAGAATTCGAAAGAAGTATACAGATAACTGGTCCATATTAAAAAATACATGGATGAACTCTGTATTGAGACAGGAAAGTGTGCCGCCAGTTTTCCTTTGATTCCCGAAATTTGTCAATGCGGGACTCGGAAATTAATCGACCTTCGTTGAGTGCGGATTAAACTCTTACTAAATACTTATTAGCCGGTGCCCATTTTAGCCGACTTTCACTAATTTTATAGACGGATATGCACCTAGAGTGCTCGGACCCTCTACAGGGAAGTTGCCTCTATCCAACTGCTGGATGTGATGGACAAATACCAGGCTGACATCACCTCAGTACAGGAAATATGATGAACGGGGCAGGGCTGTGAACAATCTGCAGGGTGCGATATCTATTACAGCTACCATGAAACGGTGCACAAATTTGCTGTGGATATTGTGGATGGGCGAAGACTCCTACACCTTGCCTCTAGGTTCATACCACTAGTAAGCGAAGTGCCACAATCCGCATAAAGGGAAAATTTAACAACGTAAGCCTAATATGTGCGCATGCCCCAATGGCGGAGAAGGGCAATGAGCGTTTCAATGAGCGCGTAGAAGATGCCTACAAGCCCTACTGCTGCCTTGATGTTGGCGACTTTAATGCCAGGGTGAACAAAGAAGGAATATTTGGTCCAACAGTCGGAGAATTCAGCCTTCATGACAACACATCTGACAACGGAGATAGGCTGATCGACTTCGCCGCGGCACGGTAGTTAGTAGTACCAGACACAATCATCAAAACTTCTACAAAGCCACTTGGGTCTCCCACGATCGAAGAACGACACCAAATATATAGAAGATACGCTTCGAGCGTTCTTGGCGTGCGCTCTATCCGAGGTGCCAACATCGACTCGGAGCACTGCCCTGTTCCAGCTTAGGTCCACATGAGGCTAAGAAACATGCGTCATGCAACGCGGTGAAAGTTCGACGTCAACAGCCGATAAATTTAGCAATGGACCCTCTATCCTGCCCAATCAAGCAATTCCTCATCGCCTAGACATAAATGAGCAGTGGTATTCCATATTCCAATCACCCCGTACCGCTGAGGAAGTGGTTGTTGGTTACTACCAACTGCGGTAAAATAACTGGTATGACGAAGACTTCTGCGCGGCTTCTGTAGAAAAATACGCCGCATATAAAGCTGCCCTGCAGCCTATGGAGACAAGCGCGACAATTGAGCGATACTGGGGAAAAAGGAGTGAAGATACTGTGTGAAAGACTAAAGCTGTTCAGGAACCAACTGATTAGACCTTATCGCTGTGGCTTCAGACCTGGTAAGTCTACCATTGAAAAGATTTTCACAGCACGTCAAACCCTGGAACCGGTTTATATAGCATGACGCCATGTCTAAACTTGGGATCCCCGAAAAACTAAAACTAGCTTCAGCTCTATAAAAATTGGAAATTATCTCTCCGTGCCGCTTGAGAACAAACGAGGTTTTAAATACTCTCTCTACCCTCTTGTGATAAGAGCTGCAAATCTGAATCGCAGAGGTAACATATATACCAAACAAAGATGTATAGCTCCAGCGTGGGTGTTTTTGAAAGAACTATTCTAAATAAAACGATTCCACGGGCTTGGTGAGGTTGTACACATGGACAAGCGCTCCAGCTTCAACAAGAGCGTCGCCGAACAAAATGGAAGGAACAAGTGCAGGATCTATCTCCATTCAACATGAGGAGGGAGGCAATTGGAGAAGCTTTGTGGGGTCGGCACAAACCGACTGACGGTTATAGCGCTAAATAAGAAGGAATATAAACATTTCTATCTCATATTATTTTTATCACAATCTTTGTACATCGAAGTTATTTTTTTTTTTAAAGAATTAGTAGAGACTCTCCATAATCTTAAGGTCATTACCGCCATAAGGGAATTAATCGCAAACTAAATGTCTATAAAGAAGGTTATTTTTGAGGAAGTGGTAATTTTCTAGACCAACACTGAATATATCTACATTTATTTTTCGAACTAACTCATTGGGTGTGATTGCTTACTATTCGATGATTTTTTAATACACATTTTCTTTCAAATGCTCATCCACTCCTTAATAGATTCAAGCTAGTCAAACAGCAAGCATAGAATTGGTTTGCTCTACGATGCGTCGGCAAATAATATCGCGCGCTTTTTATGGTTGGCTAGCTTATTGCCGACACTTGTCCACAGTGCGAACACATCTTTCTGGTTTAGTAAATGGGCGCATTACTCCAGATTGTAAGTAAAAGAAAATCAGTTGACTTTATCGATCGCATACTTACAAACATATATTTTACCTAATACTTTTTGCTTCAACTAAAGTGACCGCTGACGAGCAAGGATTGACCAAGGAGAAGTGGGCGGAGCTCCAAGTAGATGGTGTTGTTACCAGCGATGTGGAGGTATTCCGTTTAGTGTACTTCGGCGGAGTGCAACACGAGATACGAAAGGAAGTTTGGCCATATCTCCTGGGACATTATAGGTATGCTTAACAGATTCATAAGTCGTATACATAGATTACTTAAATACATAAAATTCTCAATAAACCGCAGCTTTGGCTCTACACCCGATGAGCGCGAGAAATACGATGATACCTGCAAACATTATTACGAAACTACAATGAGCGAATGGCTGGCTGTAGAGGCGATTGTGCGTCAACGTGAGAAGGAAAAAAATGCCCAGGCTGTGGCCAAACTGACGGCTGAGAAGCATAAACGTGCCGGCAAGCAAGTTTGTCGGCAGCATGAAATGGATAGCGAAGAGGTGGAAAATGATGTTTTCGAGGAGAATGATTTTTCGGATATGTCAGATCCGGGGGAGGACTTTGACGAGGAGACACCAGTCGAAAGAGACGAAGAAGAGAGTATGACCACTTCCAAAGCGGAAAAGCAGAAAAATAGTAGCACAACGGACTCAGGTAATGTAGAGGAGGATATCGAGCAGGCAGATATGAATGAAACAACGAATGACGAGCAGCAAGCAGTAGACAATGACAATGAAGAATTTGAACAAAATGAACGTATCGTGTTGGAATTAGAGAGTATAGAGGCAATGGAACCGTTACCGCTGCAAGAGAATTGCTTTGCTATCGACACTGATATGGAAGCGGGTCTAACACCTGAGCATGCGGGCGGTATAATACTGTTGAGCATTAAAAGTTCACCCTCAACCTCTTCTTATGAGACAGTGGGCAACGAGTTTACTGATATTATCGATCTGCCAACGCCAATGAATGTTGTGGCCGAATCAGAAACAATGAATTTCGGCGCTATTATCGACGATGTGGAGGTGGAGGAAGATGTTTCTTCTCACGTTACGAAATTTCATAGTGCCGACGATTTGCGCCGGCCAGTAGATGAGTTTGCGATCGATGTTGATACGCAAGTGCGTGATGCCGAATCGATACCAACCCATGCAGTTATTATAACCGAAGCAGCATCACTCGATGTACTACAATGTGAAGATGAATTAACCGACGAGACGTCGCGCAAGACAAGCCTCATTTCACCAATGAACGAAGACATAACGGTGGTGGCTTCACTGGACGCACTGCAAGAGCCTAAATCGGCATGCGTCTCACCTGCCAGCAGCAATGGTGGCGTATATAGTGTGAGTACTTGGAGGAGAGAAGTTGTGGATATATTGGGACGTATTCTCGTTTTTTAAGGGACAGAAGTTCCCTAATTATAAATTTTTGATTTGCACAAAAAGAATATTACATTTTTATACCACGAACATAACCGTTTTATATAAAATTTACAGAGCGAATTACTGGAGTCCTTCGGTTTGAATCTGCATCGCATCGAGAAGGATGTGCAACGTTGCGATCGCAACTACTGGTACTTTGCTAATGAGAATTTGGATAAACTCAGGAATGTTATATCCACGTGAGTTTTTAAGTTGTGCTGAGTTCACAATATATTCCAATTACTATTTTTTTAATTACAGCTATGTTTGGGAGCACTTGGAAATTGGTTACATGCAAGGCATGTGTGATCTAGTTGCTCCATTACTGGTAATTTTTGACGACGAGTCATTGTGCTACAGTTGCTTTTGTAAACTAATGGAACGTATGATCGAAAATTTTCCGAATGGCGGGGCCATGGATATGCATTTTGCGAATATGCGGTGGGTGAAACGATAGCTGCAAGCCATTAAGCGGAATTAAGTTTTGAATAAAATATAATAACTAACGATAACTATAAATTTCAGTTCTCTCATACAAATATTGGATTCAGAGATGTATGATTTAATGGATTCGAATGGAGATTACACACACTTCTATTTCTGTTACCGTTGGTTTTTGCTTGATTTCAAGCGAGAATTGGTTTATGATGATGTCTTTGCTACATGGGAAGTGATTTGGGCAGCAAAACATGTGGCTTCTGGTCACTTTGTACTCTTCCTCGCTTTGGCACTACTGGAAACGTATCGCGACATAATACTTTCAAACAGCATGGATTTTACAGATGTCATCAAATTTTTCAATGGTGAGTTCATCGTGATTGTACCTATTTTTAGCATTTTTATTACAGATCGAAAGTTCTTAGGTTTAGATTGAAATGTGTAGAGAGAGTGATTGTCCCCAATTGTGGTGCCATATACAATCTTCATTCCCCTGCGAACGTATGCTTTCGATTTCTACTTACCGCGGGAACGCCGTTGACAAGGGGTTTTTTATTTTATTCTTCTTCCCGTCATGCCAGCTCACTCCTAATCTCAAGGCATGATTCAATAATACAAGGTTAGATAATTATTGACAGCTGCGGTTTGACACTCCCTTACAAAAGGTTGCATTTACGAAGGCCAGAGAAAGGGCAAGAATGCAATCCCTTGTTTCGAAAATGGTAGTAGAAAAGTACGCAAAGTAGGCAATTAGTAGTGAAGTTCCTTTCGTAAATTCTAATGTATTTGCAGGAAATCTGGCATGAACGTAATATTGATATATCTACGTANGTGTGATCTAGTTGCTCCATTACTGGTAATTTTTGACGACGAGTCATTGTGCTACAGTTGCTTTTGTAAACTAATGGAACGTATGATCGAAAATTTTCCGAATGGCGGGGCCATGGATATGCATTTTGCGAATATGCGGTGGGTGAAACGATAGCTGCAAGCCATTAAGCGGAATTAAGTTTTGAATAAAATATAATAACTAACGATAACTATAAATTTCAGTTCTCTCATACAAATATTGGATTCAGAGATGTATGATTTAATGGATTCGAATGGAGATTACACACACTTCTATTTCTGTTACCGTTGGTTTTTGCTTGATTTCAAGCGAGAATTGGTTTATGATGATGTCTTTGCTACATGGGAAGTGATTTGGGCAGCAAAACATGTGGCTTCTGGTCACTTTGTACTCTTCCTCGCTTTGGCACTACTGGAAACGTATCGCGACATAATACTTTCAAACAGCATGGATTTTACAGATGTCATCAAATTTTTCAATGGTGAGTTCATCGTGATTGTACCTATTTTTAGCATTTTTATTACAGATCGAAAGTTCTTAGGTTTAGATTGAAATGTGTAGAGAGAGTGATTGTCCCCAATTGTGGTGCCATATACAATCTTCATTCCCCTGCGAACGTATGCTTTCGATTTCTACTTACCGCGGGAACGCCGTTGACAAGGGGTTTTTTATTTTATTCTTCTTCCCGTCATGCCAGCTCACTCCTAATCTCAAGGCACGTACACCAGCAGTGTTAGAAAGTGATCTAAAATAATAGATAGAAATGATAGATACCTAGTTCTGCTTTAACCCAAGAGTACAGAGTTGCGGTTTTTGGTCGTAAGAGGGCTAGCGATTTCATAGGAGGACAGGTTGTTATAAAAGCGGCACTACTAGGCTAGGTTAGGTTAATCTTGCCGACGNCAAAACATGTGGCTTCTGGTCACTTTGTACTCTTCCTCGCTTTGGCACTACTGGAAACGTATCGCGACATAATACTTTCAAACAGCATGGATTTTACAGATGTCATCAAATTTTTCAATGGTGAGTTCATCGTGATTGTACATATTTTTAGCATTTTTATTACAGATCGAAAGTTCTTAGGTTTAGATTGAAATGTGTAGAGAGAGTGATTGTCCCCAATTGTGGACCACAATTTGTGGTGCCATATACAATCTTCATTCCCCTGCGAACGTATGCTTTCGATTTCTACTTACCGCGGGAACGCCGTTGACAAGGGGTTTTTTATTTTATTCTTCTTCCCGTCATGCCAGCTCACTCCTAATCNTTAGATTGAAATGTGTAGAGAGAGTGATTGTCCCCAATTGTGGTGCCATATACAATCTTCATTCCCCTGCGAACGTATGCTTTCGATTTCTACTTACCGCGGGAACGCCGTTGACAAGGGGTTTTTTATTTTATTCTTCTTCCCGTCATGCCAGCTCACTCCTAATCTCAAGGCACGTACACCAGCAGTGTTAGAAAGTGATCTAAAATAATAGATAGAAATGATAGATACCTAGTTCTGCTTTAACCCAAGAGTACAGAGTTGCGGTTTTTGGTCGTAAGAGGGCTAGCGATTTCATAGGAGGACAGGTTGTTATAAAAGCGGCACTACTAGGCTAGGTTAGGTTAATCTTGCCGACGTTCGGCCGTACATAGGCCGGTAGGTCCTTAGCGTTGCCAGTTGGATCTCGTTTTTACGCGTTGCTTGCGGAGAAGCAGAAGAAATTTCAGTCTTACTTTTGAGATGTCCTCTAACTTCTCGTATTGGTACGCTCCCAAGCATTTTGACAGTGCAGGATATCGGCAGAGAAGATGATCCAAGGTTTCCCTGGTCTCCCGGACAGGANTGCTTATGTTTTCATCAGTTAAATATGCTTCATATGCATATACAAATAAACATATTGCACAAAAGCTTATACTTTTATTTCACACCAAAGCTACACTGTTTCCATGTAAATTTGCAAAGAAGCAACACGGTGCCACTGCTAAGGGAGCGGTGCGAGAGAGACAACTGTCAGTTTATCGAACCTTGTATTATTGAATCATGATCTCAAGGCATGTACACCAGCAGTGTTAGAAAGTGATCTAAAATAATAGATAGAAATGATAGATACCTAGTTCTGCTTTAACCCAAGAGTACAGAGTTGCGGTTTTTGGTCGTAAGAGGGCTAGCGATTTCATAGGAGGACAGGTTGTTATAAAAGCGGCACTACTAGGCTAGGTTAGGTTAATCTTGCCGACGTTCGGCCGTACATAGGCCGGTAGGTCCTTAGCGTTGCCAGTTGGATCTCCCAAGCATTTTGACAGTGCAGGATATCGGCAGAGAAGATGATCCAAGGTTTCCCTGGTCTCCCGGACAGGATGTATTGTATGCATTAGTAAGGATCGGTGTCAGTGTTCTAACTCCTTCGTTAAGTTCAAGCTTCATATCGTCTAGTATTTTTCTATAGCCTTCCCAATTAGTATTTATGGGATTTCTGAGGACCCTACTATTTCGTTTCGGAGAGATCAAAATGTCGAAACTTATGTATTTGTGGTCAGAGAAGATGGTGCTTGCCGCACCCTCCAGTTATTCACCTTCGTACGAAAATCGTGAAGAGAGTTGGATCCAGAACATTCCTGGACATGGGTCCAATATACGTCGCTTCTTCACCTCTCTTAGCTACTTCCTTTGTAATATAAAGATAAAAAGTGACTCACTTCTTTCTTTTATGTCCGCGTTTCCCCACACCGTATGATGGGAATTCGCGTCGGACCCTACTATAAGCGGTTGCTTCCTATCGCCAGCCACTTCTACCAGCCTACGAAGCACCATCGGCGGTGCGTCATTGTCGTGGCCCATTAGACCGGTTGAAAAAATTTGTTTTCACCTTTTCATGATATTAGTAGAGAAATAAGTTGCTCTACATGTCCACAGACATTTTTTCAAAGACTCCCCCCCAATATCTTGAATATCGGATCAGCGAATCTTACTTGAACGTCGAAACTTTTTGCTATAAATCTTTTATCGTCCTAGAATTGAAAATGTGTATAATTGGAAGCTATTTCGAAAAAATCCCCAGGATTCTATGGGTAGTTTTTAGCCACGAACTCAAATGTGTTGATTTTTTTATCTTACCAAGCTATCTATTTAAATTAAAAAATTACAAAATCATAAATGTCAGTTTTCAAATTGTTCAACTATCCCAAAAAATTTGCCAATATTCTCAATATTATATACCGTCCTGTTCCATTTTCCGACCTTTTCATTGCTGTCAACGGAATTTCGTTATTTTTTTTTTTAAATCCGAGTTATTACCGATTTTTCTCAATAGCTGCACACACAAAGATATAGTAAGTTTGTTCCACACGATTTCTGGTCTATTTCGGTAATTAGAGCGTAAAAATGAGTTACTCTCTCACAAATGTCAAAGATGTGTCAACACGTGCCAAAAGTGCCCAGAGCATGAGGAACATACAAAACCACATTTCGTGTCCGGAATAAACAAATTAGTTCTAAACAATAATTTTATGTGTAATTAACTTATATGGCTATTTTGCATTTCTGTATTTTACAAAATTTGCTTTCGGATGTAAACAAACAGCGGCTGTTATTTCGATTTCTTGCACATTTCTGCCCGGAATAAAAGTTCGTGCTGTTTCGTGCAGGAAGAAGACATTTACGATCCAAAAGTGGGAGGTATTCGCTCTCTATTATCAATCTTTCTAGCGCGAGGAGCTGTTTTGGGCACCCGCGAGATCCCGCGGGCTCGTACGGAACCAACCTAGTTTGTCTCTTTTTGCCGCCATGCATGCGCACCGGGTGGTTATGATGCAGATAAAGTTAAATTGGAGTTCTAAATTTTTATGTTTATTATTTAAAATGGCAGTCATTTATTTATATAAACAGTAATGGCAATTTAATTTTTATTTTTTTTAATATAAAATTTCCCGAGGCAATGGATATTGTTAAACTTTGAAAATGGAAGTTTATCTCATTAAATGTACTATATGTTTACTGAAAAAATTTTTAATTTCTTCATTACGCAGAATATACGTTTATATATGAATTCAGGAACAAAGTCGAAACTCTGAAATCAAGGTGAAATTAATGTATAATTTTGTCTGCTATGCATAAGCGGGGCATAACCTAGAGCTCCTCTGAAATCCTTAATACGGCGTTTCCACGTTTCGTAATTCGTTCTCCCATTCATCATTCGCCTTGCCAATTACTTCCCGAATTACGTAATTCGTCATACAAAATTTTGAGAGCGAATTACCTCATTTGTAGGTAATTCAGATCGAATTACCATGCGAATGACGAACGAATCGGTGCCTTATCTAATATTTATCGGAAATATATTGAAGTTTTCACCGGTCTGCTCCCATTTGCTGGCACTTTTTCTAATTATAGAATAATATTAATAAAATATTCTCTATATATATATAAATAAAATTGTTGTTGATAACTTAAATTTTAGCACTATCTTAAATATTTGCAGTACACAAAAATAGTAATAAATAGCGAAAAACAAGAACTAGAGCTGCCAA